AAAATTTAAAAAAGACATTTCAAAAGATTTCTCCAAAAATGTACATTGGAATTAAAGCCGCGAGAAAAGAAGTCACGTATTGAGGAATGAGCGTGCAATTTATCTTTGAAGATTTGAATTCATGGTTGAAAAAGTATAATTGGAAAAAAATTTATCATTTATCTTTTTATAATTATCGTCATATCGTTTCAATTTTGATATGTGTACACTTAGATCAACGTAATCTTGCAGAAAATGTCATCTTCATCACTTGCCATGTAATTGTTCCATTGAAAAAGCGTCTGTTCTTCTCGTGAAATAATTTAGAAGAGTAAGAATTTTAGTTCTATTAATAATTATTATTTAGTTTTAATAAAAAAAAATTAAACTATAAGAATTAAATGGACTAAATTTTACTCTTCTAAATTATGTCGCTTGCAGAGTATGCGCCTATTTAACAAAATAAATAGATGATTGGTGATGGAAATTATTTTTTGCACAAAATTGAAACGATATATGGATATAGATGTTTTGCGTCAATTGTTTTTTCATAATAGAATAATGATAGATATAAGTATACCACCAGTACTAAAATACCATCCTACATGGCACATAGGTGACATTATGGCATGAATAATTCTCCAAGTACAGGAAATATTGCCAGATTTCCTACAGAAATTTGAATTGGAAAATCTTGTCTGTGTATCTGCTTTTTTCCCTCCCGATTGTTTGAATTCATTCCATCTATTTCAAATTCCCGTGTGCATTCTGTCTGTACTTATAGTATTGTTCTTATGGCATATCTAGTAAGAGCATGTTTAAGCAAACTTAAAGCATGGGACAAAACTTATACTCTTATTGGCTTTAGAAAGGGTGAAGTTTGAAAAATTAAAATATACTCCTTTCCACTAGCTAAGCAAGGAGATCGAGCGAGAAGACCCCATTTCGATGGCTAGTCTTCTTTACGTCAATAGACATAAGTCCAATTATATATAGTGATGATACCATTCTTTCACCCTAGCCCGAGCACCCTACCCGAGGAGTTTGTGTCAGATCTAGGCAAGACATTTGGGTTTACTCCTCGNAAAATTTAAAAAAGACATTTCAAAAAATTTCTCCAAAAATGTACATTGGAATTAAAGCCGCGAGAAAAGAAGTCACGTGTTGAGGAATGAGCGTGCAATTTATCTTGTGAAGATTTGAATTCATGGTTGAAAAAGAATAATTGGAAAAAAAATTTATCATTTATCTTTTTATAATCATCGTCATATCATTTCAATTTTGATATGTGTACACTTAGATCAACGTAATCTTGCAGAAAATGTCATCTTCATCACTTGCCATGTAATTGTTCCATTGAATAAGCGTCTGTTCTTGTCGTGAAATAATTTAGAAGAGTAAGAATTTTAGTTCTATTTATCATTATTATTTAGTTCTAACAAAAAAAATTAAACGATAAGAATTAAATGGACTAAATTTTTACTCTTCTAAATTATGTCGCCTGCAGAGTATGCGCCTATTTAACAAAATAAATAGATGATTGGTGACGGAAATTATTTTTTTTTACAAAATTAAAACGATGTAGACGTTTTGCGTCAATTATTTTTTCATAATAGAATAATGATAGATATATGCATGCCACCACCAGTACTAAAATACCATCCTACATGGCACATAGGTGACATTTTGGCATATCTAAGACATGTTGAAGCAAACTTAAAGCCCGGGACAAAACTTATACTCTTATTGGCTTTAGAAAGGGTGAAGTTTGAAAAATTAAAATATGCTCCTTTCCACTAGCTAAGCAAGTAGAGTGACTCAGAAGTCCCCATTTTGATTACTAGAGTCTTCTTTACGTCAATAGACATAAGTCCAATTAAAATTGAAAATATAATCATTATTGCGTCTCACTCGTTAATAAAAGTCAACAATAACAGCTAATTTTTTAATTTTAATTCGATTTTGATCTTTACCGAACACGTCATATATGTAGTATTACGTAACTCATTTAGCTCATGTTTGTTTAATTGAAATTGGATTTTAATAAAATTAAATAAAAGTTAATGAATTTAAAACGTATAATTAAAAATAAATTCGTGAAAATATAAATTTAAAAATAAAGATAAACCAGAAACTTAACGTTTGCTCTCTTTACTGTTTTATGCTATTTCTAATTTTCAGTTTTCGAAAACACTGAAAATACTTCTACTTACCTATTTTCAGAAACGAATTTCCAAAAACGAGTTTAAAATTTACAAAGAAAACGAAAAACGTCAAAACAATCGTTTCAGCTATTTTCAGTTAAAACCAAGCCAAAACTTCAATTTTTTATTTTTGAAAATAATTTTTCAAAATGATAAAAAGAACGCGTTTTCAACAATTTCACAATACGCATTCAAAACATAAAACCCAAAATGAATTCAAAACTCAAAACTGAAATATGAAGATATGAGCCCCTTAGCCTTTGTTTGGGCTCATTCTTTTTAAAAATGCATTTATTTGAAATTCATTTTCAATCACACATTATTCCATAAAAAATATTATATATAAACTCTTTTCTCATTCTTTAACTACACATTTAAAAAAAAAAAATCACTATCTTAAATATATTTTTCTCTAAGATCTCATTTTATTGAAATCCAAGCTTAACTAAACCCACCATATACATATATGGCAATGTTTAGCACTCATGCTATACAATATCACTTTTGAAAATAGGGGTGAGCATGATTCCATTTAATTCTGATTCTAAGATAGTTGAATCAAACCATAAGTCAATGATTTTTTTTAATTTTTTTTTAAGATGTGGAATCAAATCGGAACCGAATCATTCGGTTCTAGTTTGGTCTTGATATAAATTTTTTTTTTTTGTAATTCACCATTTTTTTTTTTGTAGAATTGAATAATCAGATCCAAATTGTTCAATTAGGGGTTTGTTTGGTCCCCGTTTTTTC